GAAATCCCTGGCACCTGTGTGGAAGGGCAATCCTCGGGCCAATGGCTTGGGTAGTCTGAGAAACACAGCCCATTTCCAAGAGATCACTTGTTCAGCTTCCCTCCCCTTCTGGCAGAGGAGGGGTGTCCTGACCTGAGGATTACAGTCAGGTGGGAGGAGTGTGCTGAAAATCGTTGCTTTGATGTAGGTATGTCAAGGTATCACCTTTTGTAGGTCCTGACTCTCCTCGCATCTCCCCCCATTCCTGTGAGAAAGCATTTTTCAGCCTCCCTTTTCCATGGCCATGGGATTTCAAGTTAAGTTGCCTTCTTCCTCAGCTGCTCAGGGAGACACAGAAGGATCCTGTCCTCCCAACTCTTTAGATACACCTGCCTAAGCATTTTGCCACCCACCCTGTGCAAGGCAGTGTGGTGGAGCCTCCAGTGGTTGGGACTACATCCTCTGGAGGAGGCCAGGAGGTAAGTTGCTTCCACTCATGACATCTGTTGCCTGGAGGTCCCAGATGTGTCTGTAGATTGTCTGCTCTGGAGGATCTCCCACAGTGAGCAAGACATAGCTTTGAAGCAGTGTTTGTGGCTAGTGTTGCTTTCTGTTAAAGAGTTCATTGAGCACCTTTCCCAGGATGACTTCTGCTTTATGCAGCCGAGGGGTTGTTTATGTATGATGCTTTGTGGGTGAGATGTGATTTCGTTACTGCTCCATTGTTGGACTCTGTTTGGGCACTCTGCCCGTTTATGATTAATGATGTTTTGAGTTGAGGCTCTAAGGTTCTTTCAGGCATATTCCAGGTACCAGAAGTAAAAGAGGTGTTGTTATCATCAAGGTGCTTCAATGTAATATCAAATGTAATCAGAAGTGAATTAATTAAAACTGTGTGTACATGTAAGTCCTTTTATGGTGGATGTTCAAGCAACTCATATGGCATAATTTAAAGCTCAATTGTTTTGACTTCTGTAACTCTCCCCTCTCCGTGAGAAGGTGGCAACTTGACAGCAGACACCAGAACTGCTGTCGGAGGGCAAACCTTTCCTGCAAAGGCCTGTTAGTGAAGCATGACTCCTGAAACAGGTTAGGAAATTGTGTCTATTTGTTGATCCTTGTGCTGGCACATTTTAGGGTTAATTCTTATGGCTTATACAACAAGCGTAGGCTGGGATCTAATGGCTACTTGGGTTTCATCTGACCGTGTTGTGAGCAAAAACCTGCAGAAAATCTGTATTTATTGTGGGTCTCAGCTCTACCAGGATTAAACCTTATTTTCTGCAGCACGGCATACCCTTGATGTGGTTGTCCATTAGAAAAATTACATGGAGTGCAGCTGCCTCTTCTGTCCAACACCTCAGGCTTTGTGGGGCTGGTGGTTCTTCACCTCCATGGAGAAGAGACTCAAGTTCAGATAGAAGAGGTGTTGACAAAATTGCAAGGTGACCAGAGAGATGGATCCTAAATGAGTGCCTGAAGATACCTGTAGCTTCAGTCTGACAAGCACAACCAAAAACCTCCTCCCTATTTTCATGAACCCAGCGGCAGTGGTGGCTGAGCAGTTAGTGTTGCTGACTAGCTGTGGAGGAGACCACAAGCTGGCAGACCAAAGCCAGAAGATTCAAATGATGAGGAGCTGAAATGGTAGGTTCAGCTCAGCCTGTGCCAGGATGATGGGGTGACTTGGGTGGCCCTGGTTCAGTGTTTTGGCTCTAACAAAAACTGTACTGGCCACATCTGAGCAGCAGTAACCTGCGCAGGGGAGGCTGGGAGCTGGTGGAAACACGGGAAAGTTGGACCTGGACCCTGCTTGGTGTAGGTCTGAGAATGTTTGCCAAGGTTAGTAAGTTATCTTGATATGTATGAAGTTAGTGACTTTGTTTCCCCAAAGTGTCTGAAAAAGTACCAAACAAAGAGGAAATTAAAATGACCCAAAATGTTCAGAGCATTAAATAAAGGCGGCGCTTTTAAAATTCTCACATATGTTTGAACCAAGCTTGTGACTTTCTGAGCTGCAGCTCTGTGATTTGGACAGGGCAGAGGTAGTAAATGGGTCAATGCTGAAGTTGAAAACGAACCAAAATGTAAAACTTTGTCTTTGACTTACTCTAATGTTAGCACTCTGTGAGGTGCTTTGATTTCTCAAGCTACTTTACTGCTTGAGAAGGCTGAAAGGTGATTCATTCATAGTTTACAAGTACCTAAAAAGGGAATAGGTTTCTGGTTGCTAGATGGGATTCAAATTTACTAGAGAAAGGCAGAGATCCCTTGGCAGGAAGCCAAAGTTAGAGAAATCCAGACTAGGAGTAAGGGCTGCAATTTAAACAATACGAATAAAAAACAGTGGAAGGCCTTTTGCTGGCATTAAGCAGACTCATCAGCAGTTAATGGCTCTAAATGAGAAGTCTGTGTTTTTCTAAAAGATGCTGCAATTATGAAGATGTTCCAGCCCTGAGCAGCTCTTCCATGAGACCAAGGCTGAGCTTCCCTATCGACTGGAGCAGCCTGTGCATGGCTTTATATGCTGCATTTCCAGGCTTGGGGTTCTGCCTGCTCTTCCTATGCTGCTGTCTAAGCACAAGCCACACTTGTAGTGTAGCAATAAGGCACACAGATGTGCTGGGTGTCAGGCACCACAGCTGTGTTTCTTTGTGCACAGCGCTTTTCCAAGACACAGTCTAAAATATTTCTGGATTGGATTCCCCTTTCACTGGCCTGTCTTATTCAGCCAGAGAATTACAGTATTTGAAGTGTGGCTTGAGAGCTGAATGCACAGTCTCTTTACCCTCTGTAGTAAGACAGTCAAAGACATGCAATCTGGGGAGGAAACATGTTCTTCTCCCGTTTTCAGGGCAGAACTCTCTGCTGGAGGGGTGTGATGCAGGCAGAGCCCCTGCCTTGTGTGAGTGTCAGCTCCATCTCTGCTGCACTTAGCATATGTCTTTTTGGACCTGCCTATTTAGGAATGTCAGGTAAATTATCACTGGTGGCCAAGAGCACAAGATGCAAGAGGTGCGTATGTTCGGGTGAGATGTGATTCACGTCAGTGGGGAGGAACAGGGGAATAGAGACCTTGGAAGGTTCCTTGCTTGTCCTTGGCCCTCTCCTTCAATGATCTCCAGGTTTCTGGGCTTTGCTCTGCTCTTGCCAGCATTTTCTGGGGAGAAGGGTGGGGCTGACACATCTTTCTCCATGGCCATGCTTCATAATTCTGCAGACCGTAAGCCTGGAAATAATATGAAGCAGATGCACCTATGTCAAGGTCAGGACATTCCCAGTATTTAAGGTGTACGTATACTGTTGGCATGGTACAGGGTGACCTCAGTGTCCAATAGGAGCCAACAAACACACACATTCAGACAGGATAAATATTTGAGAAAGTCTATTTCTCTATTCCCCAAAATGACCCCTATAAAAGCAAGGTCCCGTTTACCTTCCCAGCTCTCCATTCACAGTGTCCTGAGAAGAGACAAGACTCTCTTCTCCAAGAGCCTTCCTCCTCTTCTGGGCAAGGATCGGGGACATTGGCTTCACAAAACCCAAGACACCTTGGATTTTCACAGAACTCCTGAAATTTGGGGAAAGCTGACGTAATTTTTGTTCAGAAGTCTCTCTGTCTGTGCTGAAGTATAGTGACCTAGGAAGCAGTGCAAGACGTCAGTGTGCAGCCTGAAGCAATTGCCTGCAGCTGTCCAAGTCACTTTTTTGTGCTGTCTGCCCCATTGGTACATGTGCAACATTCCCCATCCTGTTGCCTCTGGCACAGGTTTCTAGGGAGCCTGCAGAAGGCTTGCGTGTGCAGATATAACAGTCAGAAAGAATATTTGGTGGGGTTTGTTTGTTTTTCCTTGGTGTGCTAAATACACTTGCTTTGCACTCCTGGAGCTAAGGTTTGCTTCTGTGCCTTGGCACCAGTGTAGCTGTGCAGCTCAGAGTCAGAGGAAGGTCTCGTGTGCTTGGGACCAGACCTGCTGCATTAACCACACATGTGCTGCCAGGCACCTCTCTCACCGTCACAGACATCTCTGGGTTTGCCTTTCAGTCACTGTGAGCTTTGCCCAGCCAATTTGTGTTACCCTGAACTGTTCCATTTCTGCCCATGTTTGTAGCTTTTCAATTAAGGAGATTTAGCTTCTCATGCCCTTGCACATAAAACAGAGGAATATCAGATTCCTCAGAGCTTCCTACCACAGGAGCATATGCCTGATGATTGCTGTGCTTTTTATTTTGTATAAGACCACTTTCAGTGAAAATAGTCTTCAAATAAAACCAACCTATGATGACTTATCTTGGCATGAAGAACGAGTGGAGACAAAACAAAGGTCTATAAAATAGCAATTGCTCTAATGAAATTCACCCAGTGCCTTCTCCTTTGAATGCTCTTCCATATCAGCAGATCAGAATGCAGTAGGCAATTAAAAGACAGCTTGTGCATATTAGACAGAGGAAATACTTTATCTGTAACACATCTTAGACAAGTGGAAACCGTTGTTACCAACATTCTTAAGGCAAAACCAGAAACTTGCTAAAGGGAGCTAGAAGAGTACAGAACTGTCAGTTGAAAGAAAAATTGCAAGCTTGCTAATCCATTCTTGTCAGATTTAATATAAAGCCTGGCAGAGATTGACAAGAAGTGTCTCCCTCTCTGGCTGACGCTCCAGGTGCATGGTAAGATCACTTCTCTGAAAGACCCAGGAAAGCTCACCTGCAGATTCAGGCTTCAGACTGGAAAGCCTGACATTGCAAGTCCTAAGAAAATTTAAAATAGCTTTATTCTTTCACTTTTCCAACTGCAACCTGAAGAATAGCTGTCCCTCCCCTTCTCATCCTTTACACATGCAGGTTTTCATTGCAGCTCTGCTGCTGACACTGCTACGCTGAATGGCCATGCATCTTAGCAGCAGGCACCGATCATCCATGGCACACACTGCTGGGGGACGGGGGACTGTTCTCTGTGACCTGCCTCTGCTCTTTATGCAGCAAAACACTGTGGCTGGCAGGGCAGTGGCGTTGGCAGCATGCCCATCGGCAGTGGCAGAAGTTGTGTAGGTGTTGGTAATCATCGGCAGCAATGGCAGGATGCAGGGAAAAATAGTCACAGTAGTGCTTGTGCTCCTGCATCCCTGGCATCTCCCTGATGGGAGAGCCTGGAGAACAGAGCAAGCCCCTGCACTAGCAGGGGACATGTAGATCCTGCCTGCATGGGTCAGGGTGGCCATGGAACAGTTGAGTCTGGCCACGTGGAGCAGAAAAAAGAGTGAGCCAGACTCAGGGGCTCCCTCCATTCCCCACGCGGATGTTTGTGATTCTGTGCTCCTTCCCTGCCTCTGTGCTGGTAAAACCTGGGGAGCCAGGCTGGCACGCACCCCCTCTCCAGCCATCACGCGGCAGCAGGGGCTTTTCCCGGGCGGGGAGAAGCTCGGTGGGATCTCATCGCTTGCGCACAGCCTCTGAAAGAGGCAGGTTTCACATTGTTTTGTTTCTCTTTTTGTAGCTGTCCCTCCCAAACTGAAGAAACTGAAAAGCCCAAACGTTCATGTCGGTGAAAAGATTTCACTGAAATGTGAGGCAACTGCTGGAAACCCTCAGCCGTCCTACAAATGGTTTAAAGATGGCAAAGAGCTGAAGAAGAGCAAAGACATCCGGATCAAGTATGGCAATGGGAAGTAAGTATACCACTACTGCTCTGCCTCTGTTCCCTAACGCTGGGTGTCTGAATCCGGGGGACCATCTGGCTAGAAGTGGTCCTGTGCTCTCCAAGTCATTGCTGAGCAATGCTTGAGATGCTTCCTTGGAGTCACAGGACAGTGCATAGCCCATTTACCATGGCTGGGAGAGTAAGCAAGATTCCCAGTTTCCTCAAAGAGTAGTGGAGAGAGAGGAGCAAGGCACACACAGGATAGATACTGGGTTTGTAGATATGGCTCTACTTGGGTAATTGTGTCATTGGATATCTAGGGAGGGCATCCAGTGTCCTGACCAGATAACTCTTTTCCTGCTAGCTGTAGACTGGTTGTAGGCAGCTCAGGTTACCTGGGATGAATCCTGCTTTGTGATTAGGGGTTTGAATGCAGAAGCTATCCAAAAACAGCAGTTGCCCCACCAGCCAGCAGTGGGCCTGCATAAATGTGGGAGAAATCACTCTGTTCTCTCCTGAATTTAGGTGGATTTGAAAGCATCTAAGGCAACTGCAAGGACGCAAGAGCACATCACGATACTGTTTGATTAGGGCTTGCAGTCACCCGCTGAGGCCTTGTATCATGCAAGACCTTATGTCACTGCACCCAGGGGAAGCTCCATCATGGCTGCTCCAAACTCCCCATACGACAAAGCTCTTGGGCACCTGCTCTCAGTGAGTGTCATCCTAGGGACTGCCTCATTCAGGCAGTGCAAAAACACTGACAAATAGGCCCCAATGACTAAGCTAAGGGGTTGTCACTGGGAGTTGATTTGAATGGATGCATGTTGGTATTTTTGCATTCACAATTTTTACATATGATGTATCTTAAAATTATTCCATAATCCTGAGTATGCTTACATTCATAGCTAGCAGCAAAGTCAGCTTGCAACTGTCCAACCCTTTGGAAAACTTGAACTAATTCTTTTCTAGCATATGTTATGTCTGAGTGTGTGAAAAATAGATCACCCATTCTCATTATGGACTTTATAGAGTATTAATTTTTAGAATTAGAAACCACTAAAAAATGAGTTAGAAAAATCAGTTGGCACTCGAACGGGTCATTGTCAATTATTCTAATTTAATTTCAGTCCTGTTGGTTTTTGTTTCAAAGGCACACCCAAAGTGGTTGACTTCCTTTGTAAAAACTGTAGGATTCATGGCTGTTTTAGGATGAGGCAGAGAGGTGGTCAGTGGAAGGCTTAAGCTAGCAACACCAGTGGAGCCAGGATAACTGGCTTGTATCTAGTGGGTGCTGCCTACTCAGGAAGGACTGTATGGACTTGCAGGCAGCAGAGGTAGGGCAGAACTGTACCTGCTTCTTTGCTCTGTTGCCCTCAATATTTCTGTGGCCCTTGTTATCCTCATGGCCTCAGTTGTTTACCGATGGGTACTGGAACTGGGATGCCCTGGAGGGTGTCTGCACCACCCGCTGCAGCCAGGCATGGGAAGGCTGCTGGTCCACCCCATATGGACACTGCATCCCTGCAGGCAGGCAGCTTGTGGAACTCTGAGCTTGGTGGCAATGAGGTCTTGCAGGGATGTTGGGGAGCTATATCCATCAGAGCTAAAGAGCAAACAGCCACAGATCAAACATCCAAAAAAACTCTCTGGGCAGGGATCCTGGTGATGGCGACAAATGCCTCTTGCGTTTCACTGTTGTACTCCAAGAGATCATAGTCCTTCCTTGCCTCCTGGCACCCCATGTCCAGCACGAAGCTGTGACAGGATGGCATCCCACCCACAGTGGTGCAGGAGGGGCACGCACTCACTGGCTCAGGAACATAAACATATGGAAGAAGGTTGGTCCTTTTTCCTCAGGACACCGCTGTCAAGTCATAATTTTGCATTTACCAATTTCCATGGCAACACGTTGGCTCACAGCCTGCCAGTGACAGGCCAAAGACATGTGCGTGCTGGAAGTGCTTCCAGCTGGCAAAATAAGCCCAAGGATAAAGATTTTAAAGAAGGCTGAGCACCTACCTCGTGTAGTGTCTGAGGCTCTCTGGGCAGCAAAGATGTAAGCCCAAAGCATCCGCTGTTGATCTGCCCCCAGAATTGCTTCCCATCCGTGCTTCTGCTCCCTGCTGCCATTAAAACATGTCACTAAGTGGAGAGGTTGCCTGTCTGGGGCTGGAGCCTGGCTAAGGAGACTAGATTCAAGCAGCTGTCAGGCTGGGACAGCTCTGACATACTAACCCGTTGTTGACCATTTGCCCCTTTTTGAGCAGTCAACAGTGCAGGAACACTTCTCCAAGCAGATATGGATGGGTCTGTGCACACCTGGTCTGGCATCTTCAGCTTTCAGGCTCTCCTCTCCACTGGATTTACTAGGTCTCACTGCTTAAAACCACCTCAAGAGCAGAGTGCGCACTGACATTGTACCTGCCTCCTTCTAGTCTTGACTGCTTGCAATAAACATTAAAAATTGCTCTGTGCATGCAGGCTGAGGATCGAGGGAGCCCTCATGACTTTGCGTACCTCCATTAAGTAGCTAGTGGGGTGGAGTTTAGTATAGGGACCTAAAACTGGACATGGGATATGGGTGTACACAATTACCTCCAGTATGTTAGAAGGGGACTCCAGGGAAGGATTAAACATCCCAAACTGTAAAGCTCAGAAGTCTTACCCTATGATGATTAATTCACGAATAATGGGGTTTATACATCTGGCTTCACTTAGAGATAACACTGGTCTCCAGGTAATCCTCTGCTCTTCCTCTCAGTTCAGAGTAGGGCAGGGTTTCCAGAGGGCTAGAAATAGAGGATTGGTGAGGGACTTTCATAGAGAAAGTACACAAGGCAAAAAGTGACACAGACTGTGCAGCACCTGGCCAGGTACACAGAATCATTTCTTTAAAAGTTTGATCCAAAGCCCTAATAGAGTTGTCTGCTGCAGCCAGGCAAAATGAGCCCTGTCAGAATGTGGAAATGTTGTCCATAGTGTTTCCCTTGGCCCTGTGAGTCCCCAGCAGAGCTGGGCGCAGCTCTGCATCAGACTCTTTGTCTGCAACTCTGCGGTCATTAGACAACACGCAGAGGGTTAGGATGGGAGACAAGAAGAACATGGTTTCCCTCTGTGACTCATTCCTCTACCACTCTGTGCCTGGCGTTCTCCCCTGTGTGTACATAGAGCCTTGAGATCTCTAACTAGAAAGCGTGACTGAAGCCCCTTTTTTTGTGATGAAGTTTTCATCTGATCCAACTGGCCTTCCTAGAATAGGAGATCTCTTTGAGTATAAGGGAAGTGTATGCTGTAAGGAGGAGAGGAGCAGTTCACTGCATGTCAGCTCTTCAGCTTTGCCATCAATCATCTTCCTCCTTGCTTTTTAAACTTACGGGCAAAACTTCTGGTGCCATTAGGCAAAGAAGTTGGGTTTTTTCAATGGGTATTTACTGGAGGGAGGGGAACAATTCTGATTCCTCCTTTCTGAACTGCATGTTCCATCCATAATTAGTAACAGGCTGGGGCAAGCCTGGCTTGCTTGAAGAGGGAACTTCTCTTTAAGGTGGAAGAAATCATTAGCTGGAATTTGATCTCCAGCTCAGGTTAAATATGTTGATGGGGAACCTGTAGAGACTACCGAGAAAGAATTGCATGCAGTAGTGGAAGTACAACATAGTGAGTAGCTTGCTATCTGAACTGCCAAAGCAGTACCGTTTTCTGCTGAGTGCATCTGAGATCTGATTGAGGCCGCTGCTCCCAAGAAGTTAAGGATGAGGTTTGACTCTCTGACTGTCCTGGCAAATGGTCAAACGTCAGTTATGGAGAAATCCAAGGGAGTTTCTGTTTGAGGAGGTGCAGAGAACCTACTCCACTGCAGGCTGTGCTCAGAGCTCAGCCCTGAGACACGTAGATCTTCAGCTGGAGTCAGAGGGGGTGGAGGAGCCTGGTAGTCTCCTAGCTGTGGCTGTCCTTACAGTCTCTTCTCTTTGTGTGCTCTTTTACCAAGGGAGGTTGCTGGGGTGACGAAGTAGGCATATCGTTAGATTGGAGAGGATTGGCAGTTCAGTTTGGGACAGGCTGACCATATGACATCTCTTTGGAGTAGTGTCCTACTTTCAGTATCACCAGGAATCCCCATTGTTAGACTGTAAGTGGAGCCAAGGGATACCCTCCTCTCCTGTTTCTGTACAGTAGTCCCTCAGGCGATGCTAGTTGGGGCAGATTCTTTGCTGGGGTCTTCCTTGTAGAGCTCCCTGCTGTAGATTATTCCACACCCACAATGAATGGGGCTGTGGTCTTCCCTGTACAGCTAACTGCTCTGGAATGAAGGCAAAAAAAAAATAATAATGCCAAAGCAGCAGGGGAAAGAGAGTGCGAATAAAGATAAATTATTTCCTAATTAAGCCTGGAGACAAGGAGGGGTAAAGTGAACTGTTGAAGCCTTGTGGGAGCCAGAGTGAACCCAAGCAGGCTATACCACCACTCTGGCAGGGGTCTTCAGGCTGACATTTTTAAACAAAGGAAAAAGCTCATTTGACAATGGATCTTGCAAGAGCAATTTCAGATGCCTTGAAGCAAAGACTCTTCTCAAGCACCGGTGTTGTTATAATCACCAGGGGAGCTTCTGCCTTGCTAAGTCTCACGATGTCATTATAAGTCTCCGATATTTGGGATTTGGTTTTAGCTGCTGAAGGCACTTTATTGGAGGGGGGTGTGAAGGAGAGCATCTCCTTTGTTCGTCCATTTGTTGTTTCAAAGGAGATGATGGACATCAACTTGGCCAGTGCACCTGGGAGTGAACCAGGGAATTTGAGAACTGAAAGGAGAAGCAGTTGGGACTTGAGCTAGAACAATCCACAGTTGGAGCTCCTAAGAGGTTTAGGGAATGGGCATTTAATCAAACTTGACTGAGTTATAGTGGCTAACAAGTTATGGTCAGACACTAGGCTGCTTCAGCTGGTCATACGTGCAAACTCAGAGATGGAAGGAGCTTTATGTGCCTGAAATTTTGTGTGGTTTCTCCAGTGATGCTGGCTGTTTAAA